AAAATATTTCATATGATAGCCCCAGTGTAAGGGAATCTAATAAAAAAAAGTTTGTGCAATTTAGATTACTCATTGTGACACAATTAGCATTTTAATTTTAGTGATTTTTTTAAAAAATTTCAACTGTCCGGTAACTTTTGATACCCCACTGTACATTTGAATATAAATGTGAAAGTTCTTTATTAAGTTTCAATTGACCAATTATTTCAAGAAGAAACTCACTAACCATTATTAATTTGCCTTGTTCCTTTTTACGCAAAAGAGATTTCCTAATTGGTGTCAGACAATAGTTTGATCATCATTGGCATAAAATAAGCATTCATCATGTGTAACAAATATGTGAAGTTTTTCATTTGAATTTAAGGTTAAATGTTTTTCTTATATATCATCTCCTTTATATATAGATATCCATTTTTCTAATTATTCCATATTATTTAAAAACTCTTTCCAATATTTGAGAATATCTGGACATTCATGGTCATCAAAATAAATGTATTTTTTATGTCCTTGTGATACTACTCCTATTTTTCAAAGTCAAATTTGAGCAGTTTTTATAGAAATGATTTTTTTTCCAATTGAATTATATAATAATTTTAATTTAACAAAATTTTTATATTTTTTAGGTATAGTTTTTCCATCAGATTCATAAATAAAAACTTAACTAGCATGAATTATATCTTTATCATCAATTAAAGACTGGATTTTTTGATGAATTCCTTATTTCAATTTTGGAAATAAACCATTTTTTAACCAGTATTTGACATGTTCACAAATAATTTTTATCTGATATTGACCTTTTTGATATACTTCTAATGCAACTTATAAACTAGATTCCATTTTTGTTAAACCATACTTTTTTTAATAAACAAAATAAGAATGCAAGAAATGGAATTGAAGATAATTATATGTATTTTGTTTTTTTGTACTGATAAGTTTAGATTCAAGTAATCTCACTTTATTAACAAATTCTTTATCAATCTTTTCATTATCATTGGTTCAATTATTGTTTTCAATTTTTTCTTCATCATTTATTTCATTATTATTATCATCAGTTTCTATAATTTCTTTATTATCAGTCTCTATAATTTCTTTATTATTGGTTTCTATAATTTCTTTATCATCAGTTCCTATAATTTCTTTATTATCAATTCTTATAATTTCTTTATCATCAGTCCTTATAATTTCTTTATAAACAGTAATTTTATCATTATCAGTTCCATAAATTTTGCTAATAACATCTTAATATATGTCTAGTACAGTCTTAGGTAATTCATTATTATTATAATATAATTTGAAGAGACAAAATAATTGGTGATGGGATGGATATTTTTTGCAACTTTAGTGTATAAGCTTGTTGATTCATACTTTCAATATTTAGTAGCTCGAGAATTACTAGTATAAGAATTACATTTTTTAGGTGTCCAATATAATTTAAGACTTAACAAGTTTTTTATTAAGATATTACTACCTTTGGAGTCATTGTCTTCGTTGTTATCATCTTCAATATCATCATCTTTGATATCATTTTTGATGTTGTAATTACTTTCACTATTTGTTTCCATTCCATTATTTGCTTTCAAGTAATTGTTCTCACTTTACTTACTCTGAGATATAAACTTTCTTCTTGATTTATGTCTACTATTTTGAAATCTCATCTTGACAACGCACACCTTTCTTTACTCTTATAACAAAATAAAGAGAAGAAGCAACTGAAATCCAGAGATCTGAAAATGGTTTTAGGTAATTCAAATTGTTTTCTGAAAATATAAAATTATTTAATCAATTGAAATTTTTTCCATATACCATGCATAATGTCTCAATTTCATAATACCATAGTAAAGTAACCAGACTTTGCAAGCTAATAATGTGAGCAAAAATAAAATTAAAAAAAATCTAACTGATAATTATGAAAGCCGTGATAAAGATCTATGAATTTATTGGTTAGAATTTTAAATGTTTATACTTCATCACATGCTATTGTTGACTGTGATCTGACCTTCAAGGGATACGATTAACTATTAGCTAAAGATACTGTAGCTAAACTAAAATATAATAAACTACTAACTAATTTATACTAAAAAG